CGTGATGTGTGAACAGGGTACAGCATGGGGATGTGCGAAATGGCGGTGTGAGTACGACCCCCCCCCCCCCCCCTCCTGCTCTAACTGACAACCAGATGCATGTTCACACCAAATGGCTTCCTGAAATGGAATCTGGATTTTCGAAAGGCGGACTCTGCTCTAAAATCCAGGCAATAATAGGCTTTTCAGCCTCATGCAATATGAGGCTGAACAACAGCCTACAATTTTGTCATAGGATAAAAAAAACTCGTCTTTCGACAACCATGTATGACATGCAACTTGTAACAAGGAACACAATCGAAACAGCGACTAATGGTGATCATTGATAAGCTAAATTGGTGAAAAAAATAGGTCAGTGTGTCAGGCCCCAGATGTGCATTCAATGAATGGTGACGGGGAAATCATGAAAACATGCACGACACAACAAAGCGAAACATGAAAAATACAAAAAAATGCGGAGCCAAATGAAAAAAATGGATAACCAGGCGGCAGTATATCGTTCTATACTTGGCTATTATCGATCGCAACGTTGCGACCGCTTTCATTGGAAAAACGTCATTGGAGCGCGGTTGTTGGGCCTGCCAACGTCCTGGGGTCTTTTCGGGGGGTTATATCTCTTTGAGGGGCTTTTGATGAATGGTTAGCAGCATGCAACGGGAATGTTCCTACTGTTGCGTTTTCTACCCAGTTGCAATCTGAATGTTTCCCATGAAATATTTCGGATGGGTTTCGGATCGGCTAGGGGTAAATGGCAAGCGGGTTTTTATGCTTCACACGAGGATTACTTATTTCGAACGCAATTTCATCAGGATTAAAATCGTCTTGAAACCGCCCTATCTTTTCTCTTTCCAATAAGCTTTACAGTTTTCCTGAAGACCCGCTAGTTCAGGAGATATTTTAGATGGGTCACAGACGCGCTACCCTCTGACCCACCCGAAAAATCGACTCCTTCTGTGCCATTGTGAGGATACACCTTCGGAAACTTCAGTGTGCCTTCAAAACACATATTTCCCTTCAAATGAGTGAAAGAGGAGCTCGGCTATCACTGATCGATTTGGTCCGAGTGTGCGCCGTGCATTAAGCTCCTACGCAGAGGTGGTGGAAATGTGTAAATTCTCAGTTCAGGTGCTTTTACCCATGCAAGCAGTGTTTGTTTAGGTGTTTGGAAAAGACAATACGCACGAATCCGTTTGAGACGTATTATTTAGTCATCAACGCACTTACGAGTTCATGCTATTAACTGATATTTATTTATTGCTATTCTCGCTATACTGCTAAAAATTTTTTATTATTATGTAGTCCTCCTTACATGCGGCTCGTTCTGCACTTTCCGTCCGTTCGATCAACTTAGCAATGACCTTTTGTACTGTTTGGTGCCTAGGGAGCCTACTTTTGCGATACTCCCCACGTCCCCCGCGGCCAAGTACGAACCAGTCTGGGGATTTCGCATGAAAAGAGGGCTGTTAAACGTAGCAGTTAAATCTGTAAAGAATACACTCATAATAATTTTCATTTTTTTAACATCTTGACTTCCATAGCTCCACTCCCACTATCAACTGAAATGTCGAAGCATTGCCCGGCTCTGAGTGACCCTTGAGATTACGACCCCCCCCTCCCCAGCGGCCAAGTACGACCCCCCTATGGGTTTCGCACAACGATGCTGTACCCTGTGTGTGAAATGGTGGTGTCAGTTCGAAGGCCCGATACGCCCCCCCCCCCTACCTAGAAGGGGGTCACGGTACGACTCCTCCCTGTCGAAGGAGGTCCGACACGACCCCCCCCCCAAGCCCACCCCACCTAAAAGAGGGTGTCGGTACGACCTCCCCCCAACACCTACCTACCAATTTCCCACATTTTCAAGTTTTTCCACCCAAAAATTTTACTGTCGGTAGCGGAGGGGCGGATCACGAAAACAACAATCGGGAGAAAAAAATTTTTCCAACGCGGCAAATTTCTCTCGAAGCCACATACGACTCCCCTTTCTCTCCCAACAACGACCAAATACGACATCCCCTATGTGTTTAAGACAAAGATGTTGTACCCTTTCACCAGTTCCGAAGTATGCATAACTTGGTTGGCTCGGGCTGCCCACTCTACCCTCTCTCTCCAGCTGCGCGCGTGGTCAGTCCTCCAAGTGTTCCAGCCCTAGTTTACTCTAGCATTAGTGTCGTTTTTGGTATGCGCATTCGGGAGAGTACTAAGAAGTTGAAGACAAGGCAGTTGAGGTAGGATGGCAAAGGGAGCCGAACCAGAGGAAGAAATTTAGGGGAGATTGTATTCTACAAAAAATTTGCACATTATACACTGAAAAATAGGACACAGACCTGCGAAAATAATCAAAACAACTCACTGGAATCAGGATCGAGATCACGTGGGAAAAATGTGATATTTTCTCCTAGTCCACTCATTTCCTTGTAGGTCACGTGAGCTTGGCGGGCGACCTTTTCCGCCCATGCCTGTGCCTGTGCCGCCAGCTGATCATTCCAGCGCAAATCCGGTACTCCATGCTAAACGACATTTCATTGTAAAACAACTTTTGCTAGGGGGGCATAAATAGTGATCAAATTCATCAAATAAGAACTTGGAAAGATCGGATAATTGAGTAAAGAACTAATTATATGAGTAAATAAATTCACATGTGAGTTGAGTCACACCTTTTGTCTTATTTTCTGTAACATATTAAGAACACTATATCAAATGCGTCATTTGCCACCAACACCACCACTCAGCTACCTCCAGTTTAATTTGCCTGAGATATGAGCAAAACCTCGAACTCAAGCAGGAGTCAAAACCGCACCTCCTGCTTTCGGGCGAGTGTGCCATCTATTGAGCCAGAGCCGCCCCTAACCCTCACAGCTCAATAGCTTCTGTCCCAAAGAGCGAGAGTGAGGACTCCCGGAGATAAGAATCTTGCCCACAACTCAGCATTCTTGCACTGGTAAATTGATAGGCCTGCTTATAAGACACGTGCTAACGAAGTCAATTTCTGGAGATTGCCTCGAAATTGAACATGTGGCGGCAAGAAATGCTTTTTCATAAGATTGGTATGAACAAAGCCGCTGAAGGACAGCTAGTTGTGCAACTAAAATTGCAATGATTGGCTAAAGTGACGAAATCACTTTAACTGGTAAGGTGCCCTGAGCGACAAGCTTAATGCCTCCGACAGGAAGACAGGCTGCAAAACGAGCAGCGCTACGACAAAAATCGGTCCTAAACAGAGCGTAACAAGTGTGATTA